GAGGTAAATTATATATGTAACAAAACATATACCATTTCAACATTCTTCATAACTACAATTAATTTTGTTCATCATGCTACTCAACCATCATAATACCTTTCTAATTTTTTCCATTTTCTACGTATTTATGTATGTGACATAATTTAGGCCTTTCATTAATCCTACGAGGCAGGCATTAGGAATGCTTCTATATTTTTGGCCTTTTTATCTTCCACCATATTCATGGATATATTTGCAGCATATGTACAAATATCTTCTGTCAAATCTATATATGTTCATGTCATGCTTCCACTATTCTTCCCATATGTATTCAGCCTGCATGTATATCCATGCATTTATTCATGTTGTTGTTGTTGTTAAAAGCTATTGAATCTGTTCCAACTGATAGTGACCCTATATAGAGTTTCCAGGGAGTGACTGGTGCGTTTGAACAGCTGTCTGTGTGACTCAAACAGACCTTGCAGTTCAGTGCTTTATCCCCCTGTACCATATCAGGACTCCCCATGTACTAATTGCTGTTGTTGTTGAGTGCCAGTGAGTCAGTTCTGACTCTTAGCAACACTGTACAGTGTTTCCAAGGAGTGGCTGGTGAGTTTGAACAGCTGACCTTGCAGTGCAACACATTATCACACAATGCCACACCGTGTACTTGTTGTTGCTGTTGTTAAGTGCCATCAAGTCGGTTCCAACTCATAGTGACTGTATACAGGATTTCTGAGGAGCAGCTGGTGAGTTTAAACTGCTGACCTTGCAGTTCATACCCACCTTGCAGACCAGCACATTATCCCGCAGTGCCACATCAAGATCAAGATTATGCATATAGCAGTATTTACCTCTGTTGCCTTTAACTCTTCCCTCCTCTCCTTGTTTTCCCCTGCTTCTTCAATTTTTTCTGACCTCCCTAAGAGGTAGTGGTGTTTCAGAGATAGAATTCTTGCTGTCTATGGGAGAGTTCTGAATTTGATTCTGGCTATTGTAACAGAAGTACAGCTAGCTTTTAATGAAAGCTTGTATGTTGCTATGATACTGAATAGGTTTCAACAGAGCTTCCAAACTAAGACAAACTAGGAAGAAAGACTTGGTATTCTACTTTTGAAGATCATCCAATTAAAACCCTATAGAACAGAATGGCTTCATGGTGCCTGAGGTTGCCTTGAGTCAGGGACCAGCTTGATGTTAGCTGGCTACAACAGTGAAGGCATGGCAACCTTGACTCTCCTCTCTGTATTAAATAATTACATAGACATATTTGGAAAAATATATAAATAAAATATTGTGCACTCACAACAGAGTAAAGATTTAACTTTTTTTTCAAATAGTTTTAAGTATCCCCTGGTATAGAAACTATATATAAATTACTGCCTCTCCAAAAGTCAGTTGCATATTAAAACTCTCTAGGTAAAAGGAAAATATGAGTTGAATATTAGTGAAAATGTAAATTCTCATAAATTCAGTAAAGCATAAATTATCCATATAATTTCTTGAATAAAGAAAAATTCTGTCTACTTATGTACAGCTTACTTATCAGGTCTAATTTTTATATTTAATCATAAAGAATACCTTTCTCCATTACACACAATTTATCCATTAAAAATATTTATGAAATGCCTACTACATTATCTCTACTTGTGTGTAATTGTTATCAAGATTATTTGTGACTGCCAAAAATGTAATTGTAGAAGATGTGTAACTGAAAGAGGGGAGTAGTTAATCTTTTTTTTAAATGAAAAGTGATGGGCTAGAAAAGCCAGAGGGTGACCTTTGGGATCTTGAATTTACTGGATATGGGTTTTCAATTCAATGTCTTCTTAATTCCCACCAAGTGATTGGGTTGTTGTTGTGGTGGTTATGTGCCATGGAGTCGGTTCTGACTCATAGCTACCCTGTACAGGGTTTCTGAGGCTGTAAATCTTTATGGGAGCAGAAAACCTCATCTTTCTCTCGCGGAACAGCTGGTAGTTTTGAACTGCTGACCTTGGGGTTCACAGCCCGATTCGTAACCACTATGCTACCAGAGCTCCTTAAGTGATTGGGTAGAACCATGCAAATAAGGTATACAGGACACTATGGTTGGAATTGGTTTGTTTTGCCATCCAGCTAGGTTTAAAAGGTGCCATCTCAGAAGCAGGATAAAGATCTGAGGACTATCAAGAAGAAATAGCATGAGTGGAATGTGTTATCGCTCCCTAGAAAAGAGGCAATGACAGGAAGCTACAGCAGAGGATGTGGCTTGGAAAGACAGAGCAACTGCAGGCTCTAGGTCCAAGGACTAAAGCAGGAGCTGATAGATCGAAGACAATGGTGAGGCATGCTTACAGGATGGCACTGCTGTGTCCTGAGTTGGTTTTGATCCTGAATTGTGCCCTGTTCACTTCCCTAATAAGCCCCGTAATCGTGAGTAACGTTATGTGTTCTGTGTGGCCATTGCAATGGACTGTGAAACCCAGATGTGAAGCAGGGAGTGATGTGAAAGTGAAGGTTGGTGTCAGAATAGGGTTAAGAATGTTGTAGCAAATTAGACATTGGCTACATAAAATGGGGTCACTATAAAGGCAGCATAGTGGTTATGAATCGGGCTGCGAACCTTAAGGTCAGCAGTTCGAAACTACCAGCTGTTCTGTGGGAGACAGATGAGGCTTTTTGTTTTCGGAAAGATTTACAGTCTCGGAAACCCTATACAGGGTTGCTAAGAGTCAGAAGCAACTCCATGGCACATAACAACAACAATACAAAGGCATGAAGTGGCTGACTTACAAGTTTTCAAGAGGGAGTTTAGTTTCAGCGTGTGCAGGGGAAGGTAGACTCCCCACTGAATTGTTTTCATCTTGTTTAGAAGGGTCTGGTGAAAGCAGATGGGGATAAGATTTTTATGATTCAATAATGAATATTTGTTATCATGACTTGCGACTGTTGCCGGGGTCTGACCTCGACATAGTTGTCACGAGTGTTTGGTTCACGAGGAGGGGAGATCCAGCGGCGATAGGGATAGCGAAAGAATACACAGACAAACAGAAGAAGGGAGACAATGAGGCACCCCAAAGCCAGGGTGGATACATCACTGGTGGGCAGGCTTGGGACTACAGGCATCATGGCCTCTGCAGGCAGCGACTCACTGCCCTGCAATCTTTAATGCATGCCTTCCAACCAGTAATGCACACCTGGGGAGGCCCAGGCCTCTGTTTTATTTAGGGGAGGAGTTTCACACCAAGCTGGGAGGGACTAACACAGGATACAGCTAACATCAGTAATTTTCCAGACATTCAGGTAACTTTACATTGTACTTCACTGGTTCGAATCTCAGGCCAGCAACTTGGATTCTCAGGCCCAATTAACATATCTATAGCCCCTGAGGTCAGTTGGGGGAAGTTGAGAGTTCTGCAGGAGACGCCCAGGTGAATGGGCTGCACCTGGAAAAGGGATTAGGGAGGATGGATTCTTTGTCTATAGAACAAAGAACCGAGAAGTAGCTAAGGTATTTTTAGTTAATCCTTTGGAGAAAGGTTTAACCTTGCAACCTTTAGTCTCGGCTTTAGGAAAATATCACATTTATCTGTGGATTTTCAAAGGCTCCAGTGTATTAATTTAATATATATACCTGAATATTAAGATGAAAGCAATTTTCCATTAACTGCCAGTGGCCTCATTTGTTACACTCAGCCCTAGAGGGCCTCGAACCTCTGACTAGTCTTACACGGTCTGCAACAGACTGTCACAACTGTAAAGGTAGAAGAGAAGTTTTGTAACAAAAACGGGGGTGGGGGGTGGGGGCGGTTAGTTTATCTTACAAATCAGGAACAAATGACCCTAGGACCATCAAGGAAGATGAGCATGAGCAGAATGTGGAACCCTATCCAGAGAAACATGGAGTCTTTGTGTGGCACTGTGGGTTAATGTGCCGACTGCAAAGCCATTTGAACTGCAAGGTCAGCCGTTCAAGCTCATCAGGTGCTCCTTGGAAATCCTATACAGGGTCACTGTGGGTTAGAACTGACTGGATGGCACTTAACAACAAAAACAACGTCCAGAGAAGTAGCAACACCAGAGATGCAGGCAGAGGAGAGGATGTGGAGAAAGAGAGGGCAGCTGAGGACTCTAAACTCATGGAAAGAGAAATGCTGTTTGCTGGCAGCCATGAGGCAGGCTTGCAGAACGTGCCCTTTGCTTGTTTAAATGATTATATATTCCTGAGTGTTTCTGTATACACTCTCCCCCCAAAAAACAGAGGGAATAGAAGCAGATACTGTTGAATGCTGATGCACAGAGGAGACAGTAATCATTGCAATGAAATGATGAGTGTAAAATTGATGCAGCCTTGGGCTGATTGTTAGTTTGATTCTCTTTCCCCCTTGTGAAGCCAGGAGAAGTCAGACATGGTCCCCACATGATTTTTGTGCTACTGTTCTAGGTGCAGGAGATACAATGAAGAAGCAAAATAAACAGTGCCTCTTTCTTTCTTTATATAATTGGATACATATATAAAGAGTAAGGAGCTCTGGTAGCGTAGTGGTTATGAATTGGGCTGCAAACCTCAAGGTCAGCAGTTCCAAACTACCAGTTGTTTCATGGGAGAAAGATGAGGCTTTCTGCTCCTGTAAATATTTACAGCCTCAGAAACCCTGTACAAGGTTGCTATGAGTCAGAACGACTCCATACCAACAAACATATATAAAAGTTGATATCTGTTTCCACATATATGGATAAATAGATATATGCTGTTGCTAAGTTCTGTCGAGTTGGTACCAACTCAGAGTGAGTGACCCTGTATTGGGTTGCCAAGGAGCAACTGGTAAGCTTGAATCACTGACCTTGTGGTTCAAAGTGACCTTGCAATCCAGTACATTAACCCACAGAGCCATACTAGGATCCCAAATAGATATGTACAAAGGGTTTTATTGAATCACCAAATGATTAAGCCTGATGTTACACAACAATGAACTAGACATGAATAAAACTAAAAATATTATGAAGACAAAAGCAAAAATTTTTATCCTAAAAGAACATTAGCATTCTTGTATTTCTTGCTTATTTTCCAGTTGATTCTGAGCTTGAAGAGTCCACTTGGTCATCTCAGGTATCTTCAGTAAAAACAAAATGCATATCCAGTAGAACTTGGTGAAAATGTATTCAATAATTTCTATAATTGTAATCATACTGGCCCCACAAAATAGGCCCAGCTGACCACCAACATCTGCTGTAATAAAACCAGTCAACAAATTGAATAAGTCATTATTTCCTTAAAATAAGCACATTAAACATTATTAGAAGTTAAATTATTCAAAGCCAGTAAGTTAAACATAACTGCATTGTATGAAGAACAGTTAATTATATAATTTAAAAACTTGTTATAAAACTTAAAAAAGAAGTTGCCACCAAGTTGATTACGACTCATGG